CCGCGAGCCTGGGCTCCCGGCGAGTGCCCACCGCTCCCCCCATGAGACCCTCGGGCCGCGATCGCAGAGTCGCCGAGCTCCCCTGCGCCTCCCAGCCCCTAGGTCCCGTCGGTCGCGGCCAGTTCTGGGAAACGCTCGGCTGTGCTGTCATCCCGAGTCTGGGACCTCTGAGGAGCCACCACCCCGCGTCCGAAAATGTGGGCGTGGCTTCCCTCCCGGGTTGTCCCCCAGAAAGTCGGTGGTGGTCTGCGGGCCGTCCCGGCGCCCCAGCTCCCGAGCAGGCCACTGCGTCGGACTCTAGTGGTGGTGGTGCTGCCATTAGTTTTGAGGACGGTGCCTTTGCCCTGTGAGTTCTTTAATTGATTTTAGCCCACTTCGTGCCTGCGTCGGTATTGTCCGACTTTTTTCTGGTTTTCCTCGCCAAGGGGTGTGAAGTTAGACCTGACTTGACTGCATGTTCTTAACTGTTGAGTTTCACATTTGACTGTTAGAGTTAGGTTTTTAAATAATCAGCTAGTTGTATTCCCGTGCTATGTGTGCCTCTTTTTCTTTTGGGGAAGGGAACCTAGTGATTCCTAGTGATACAAGAGTTTTCTCCGTGTCTGAGTGAAAGTCCTTTGGTTACATAACTCATTTATTGAACGAGACCGTCTTTAAAGTAGTTTGAACAGAGAGCACAACTCTGATTTTTAACTTTGTTGTGCTCCACACCTGCTTGAATCAGGGCTTTCCAAATGGCCTTAGATGCTGAAAAGTCTGGCCATGTCTTGTTCAAAATATAAAGCCCTAGCTCGCAGACCTCTCCTGACCCGCCCGCTGCTCCCCTCAGCAGTGTGCTTCGTGGATCTGCTTGTTTTGCTCCGCACTCCAACTATGAACCCTCTCACCACTCCTGCACCTCTGGCCTATGCCCCAGTTCTGTATGCACAAATAAATAAATCATTTTAAAAAAGTAAAATAAAACAAAAGCCCCTCCCTGTGCCTCCTCTCCCAGGTTGTGCACGGTTCTGGCCCACAAGTCTGTAGTGGGGAGCGGAGTAAAGGGGTTTCGCCCTTTCTGCCTTTGGAGTCCTGGCCCCTCCGGCGTTACTGGTGCTGAGTCTTGAAGATTGTCATGAGAAAGGGAGCAAAGGGTCAAAACAAGTCTTCAGAGGTGTATTGCGAGCTGGCTCTCTGGGTGTAGCAGCTGTCCTTGTGCTGAATCTTTCTTTTGAGTTATGTGTGTTGTTTGGAAATGAAATCTCCCATCTGCAGCTTCTGGACGGTGTCTCCATCAGTTTCAGTGCTTGGGGCAGGAGTTGGCACACTACACTACAGCTGATGGGCCAAATGCAGCCTGTCACCTGTTTTTGTATGGCCCAGGAGCTAAAAATGATTCATAAATGGCTGGAAAGGATCAAAATAGTATTTTCTAACACGTGAAAGTTAACGTGAAATAGACATTTCTATCAGTTAAATGTCTTTGGTCCATAGCCATGCTCATTCTTTCGTAGAGAGCCTTCATGCTTGCATTAGGAGAGGGTCTAGGAATTAATGCATTCATGTGTTTGTCCAAATCATAAGCTTATCAAAAAGCTAAGGCACAGCCATAATATATGCAAATTTAAAAGTTATTTAGGAAATTGGGACTCTGGAATAGAATGAGAAGTGATGAAAACTTTTTTAAAATTTCGGTTTTTGCTTCCGTTTTGTTGTTTGGGGAAGAGGGGATGGTGGTGGGAGGGAGTTCATTTACTGTGTAATCTGTTATTACTCTTACCATTATTCATAAATAAGCCAACCAGAACTATACTGGGATTTCTTTGCTGCACAGCATTTTGTTTCCCTTAAAGTTAATAATTGATTTGTGTTTTGTTTGCTTGGTTTTTCTCTGTACTGATCTCTATTTCATCAAAACTTTGAGAGAACTGGAAAATCCTTTCCAGAGGTGTTAAAGCTCACCCAGTATTTTGTCAGTTTTGTTGGCTTGATAAAGGGACTTCCCTTTATTATTTTTTCTAGAAATTTCCTTCCCCTTTTCATTATATCCCCACCCTCTGTATTCCTCTTTTGGGGTTTCCTCTCATGGAAGCATTTAGCTTAGTGACTTGAGCGAGTGAACCCTGACTCAGGAGACCCTCCCTGAGGATGACCTTGGGCAAATGACTTCACTTGGTGCCTGAGAACCATTAGATGAGCAAATCTTATACAGGGCCGAGATCACTTGCTCTTTACATATGACTTGACTTACTTTTATAGATTTAGATTAGAAATTATTTCTCAAAATTGTAAAAGCATGTTTTGTTGTTTAACAGTCCTCTGCGTTGTGGTGTTGTGTCCACACTTTGGCTGGCAACGCAAGTCTTTTAAGATCTGGAGAAATTTCTCATTCAACAAATTTCCTCCCTCTCCTTTTCTTATCTCCTGCTTGTCTTATCATTGTTCTTTCCTTTTCAGGAATTTCCTCCCCTTGATCCTCCTACCTTTCTCTTATGTCTTAAATGGTCACTAGTGTGGTCTTACTCACTTATGCCTTTTCAGAATTTTCTTGAACAAAATATTTGTGCTTATTGCTGGGCATATTAATCATAGTATTTTTTTGATATATTCTTTTGCTCACTGTGCTACTTCTATTTTCTATATGCTCCTTTTCCTTTGTGTTTTTGATTTCTAATTTACCTCATTCTCAGATGTCTGGAGTTGGTTAGCCTTCGCTTTCATTTCCAAGTTAAGACATTAAAGCTGACAAGGAAGGTGAGTAGAGCTAGTCCTTAGTGGGCTTCCATGTTGTGTGATCAGTTAGGAAGGAGTCAGGGTGGAGGGGGGACACCCTATCTATGTCACATCTATAGACCTAAAAATGGAAGTGGTAGATCATAAAACAAGTATGTTTATAAAACTAAAAGCAAATTGTGAGTACCTTTTGAAAAAGTGAGAACAGCAAAAATAAGAAGAGGCTTGCCACAAGTGTAAAAGAACCAACTAAAACTTTAGAAATCGCTCAGTCTAATCTCTTGCCATATGTAATCCTGGGTGCTGACTGATTCTTCTGGAAACCCAGCAGAAGAGAGATACAGGAGTATCAAATTGTTCCCTTTGTTCATTTGGTATTTGTTTATTGTGATAAGTACACTTGAAATTTATCGGTTTAATAATCTTTTTTTTTTTTAAGATTTATTTATTTGTGCACACAGAACTGGGGTACAGGCCAGAGGTGTAGGGGTGGTGAGAGGACTCACCAGAGACAGAGTGGGGAGCAGAACAGGCAGATGGACCAAGTACATGGCTGAGGGGAGCAGCAGGGAGACAGGAGGGGTCTGCCGCGCCACGTGGTCACCTCCCCTCCGGGGGCAGGCGGGGATCAAACTCATGCTGAAGTGGCTTTAGCTTAGTGCTGCGCATTAACCTGCTGCGCCACCAGGGAGGGCCCCTTAACTTTTTAGAACAGACTTAAAATACTTAATGTTTCAGATGTCTTAAAGCACTTACAGCTATTAAGGCAGTTCTCCCAACCTGATAGACTGGTATTGCATCCTATTCTCATAGATTGCAAAACTTGAAGCACAAAGGTTAAACTTCTTACCCCAGATCTTCACATACCTAGTTAAAAATGTTCCACATCGGCTTTGTGGGTGCGCTGGGGTGGGGGCGGGGATGTGGGAGAGATTACATTGTTTTCACGATTCAAGGCTGTTTTCTTTGCAGCGAATGATGTGTTCAGGAGATGAGAATTTAAAATTGTTGAAAATAACTTCTTATGTGTAAATATCCCGAAAGCTGTTGCTTCATTATTTCTCATTTGTGCCTCTGCGTCCCTGGGACTCCTTCCTGCTCAGGATAGATGGAATGGAGCTTGGCATTCCTGAAAAGTCAACCAAAATACCCTGTTTTTCTAACTCCAGAATTCATGCTGATCAGAAAAGTGCAAAATAGTGCAGAAACAGAAACTAAGGGCTTATTTATGGAGGTTGATCCTCTCCTCCCTTTGTAGTCACGAGTTTTACATCCAAGGCCATGCCCCTCAGTAATTGTAGAATGGGTGAGGCGCCTGTTCTTCATCTGTGGTGGGCTGAGGATTGTGCAAGGGAGGGAAGGTCTTCCTGATGGCTGAACATCTGGCACATACTCATGATCATTTGAGAAAAGGCAAATGTACGAGACAAAGATCTGGATGTTGATTTTTATTAGAAACTTTGTGCCTTAGAAAGGCTGAGTGATTTAGGTGTGTGCCATAGAATGTCCCTTTTACATCTACTCCAGCTTGAAGACTGGTTTTCTGCAGAATACCATTTCTCACCATGTCCTTCAGCATTTTGTTGAACAAATATTTGGGGATTGTCCAAAATCAAGGATGGACCAAGGGAAAAGCAGGCCTCTTCCTGACCCCTAGTGGCACAGGCCCAGCACTGCAGACACTCTGCTGACTTAGACGCCAATCACATTTCTGGGGTACTGCTCATTAAGCCCTGGAGTCCGCTCTCTTTTCTCCCATAAATAAAGAGACTTTCTTCAAAGTGAACACAAGAAAGCCTCCTTTCTGAGAAATTCCCCACATAATGAAATCTTCAAGTCTTGGTCTGTATCAGGCATTTAGAGTTCCCTATATATCGCATTAGGGTGATGGGCATATTCACATTGTTTTACCATGACTAAAATTAGATATAAACTCCTTGGAAATCAGGAATGTTAGTCGCATTTTACGGGTTTATAAATGGACAGTGATCCACTGACTGCAAGTTCAACTCTAGTGAACATGGGGTCATAATAAAGTGTAGGCTGCCGACTAAGCAAAGCTAAGCTTATTAAGCCCAACACACTAAGGGGGAGACATCCACTTGACACAGTCTTAGTTGTGGCTCACAGGGAGGTTAGAAAATTACATCATATTTTGGGGACTTGGCTGAGTGTTTTTTTTTTTTTTTTTTTTAATTGGGCCCTTCCTGGTGATGCAGTGGGTTTAAATGCAGCACTGCAAAACTCTTTGAAACCACTGCAGCACAAGTTTGATTCCTGGCCAGGGAGGTGACCCACATGGCACAGCAGACCTTTCCTCACACACCCACTGCTCCCCTCAGCAGTGTACTTTGTGCTCCCCACTCTGGTGAATCCTCTCACTCCTCACACCTCTGGCCTGTGCCCCAGTTCTTGCATGCATAAATAAATAAAAATCTTTTTTTTTTAAGATTTATTTATTGTGTCAAGTGGATGTCTCCCCCTTAGTGTGTTTGGCTTAGCTTTGCTTATTGATCAACAGGTTTTTCTGACAATCTGTTGGGAAGTCAGCATCTTTAAACTTTATTATGACCCCATGTTCACTAGAGTTGAACTTGCAGGCAGTGGATTACTGTCCATGTGTAAACCCTAAAAATGCAACTAACATTTCTGATTTCCAAATCAGGAATCTTTCCAAATCTTTTTTTAAGGTTTATTTATGCATGCAAGAACTGGGGTATAGGCCAGGGTTGTGAGGGTGAGGTGAGAGGATTCACCAGGGACAAAGTGGGGAGCAGGACAGGCGGATTTCTTGAAACATACTGCTGAGGGGAGCAGCGGGGAGACGCGAGAGGTCTGCTGTGCCCTGTGGGTCAGTCCCTGGCTAAGAATTGAACTCTGTCCTCAGTGGCTGGTGATAGCTTGACAGTGCTGAGACTTGACCACTGCGCCACCAGGGAATCTCCTTGGCTGAATAATTTTGCAGTAGTTTTGCAGTAGGTAACTTTGAAGTTGGGCAGTTTATGATACCTGGGTTTGGATTGGTGGACACAACGAGGCAAAGGTTTTGAGGCAGGATGAATAAATTATTTAGTTGGCTTACAGCCTTGACTTCTAGAAACTTTATTATCCTTCTGGGTTATGTCTCCAGGTAAATCTTGAAGAAAGTGGTTAAGTGACTTTTGCTTTGTCTCTTTTGGTTTCTGTTCTTAAATGTAAAATCTGAATTAATTCATATGAATCATTGGTTTGTTTCAGCTTTGCCCGAAGTTTTTACATACAAATTCTACTAGTCACACTTGGCCGTTCAGTGCAGTTGCTGAATTAATAGGTACGTAAATTGGCATGTCGTATATATAATCTGTTGCTTGCATTTGAAAATTAGAATTTTCTTTATTTAAAAAGTACACGGGTATACTTTTTATATAAACTAATAAATATATCAAGTGATGGCATCATTGGTAAAGGTTACCTGCATAACAGCTATTCAAATTAATCACTACTCACTTTTCCTGCAAAAAAGAGAACTGTGGTTTCTTTTTTTTTTTTTTAAGATTTATTTATTTATGCTTATAGAACTGGGGTGCAGGCCAGAGGTGTGATGGGTGAGAGGATTCACCAGAGACAGTGGGGAGCAGAACAGGCAGATTGACAAAGTACACCGCTGAGGGGATCAGCGGGCAGGTCAGGAGGTCTGCCGTGCCATTGTGGGTCAGCTCCCTGGCTAGGGGTTGAACTCACGCTCCATTGGCTTTGGGGAGCTTCATAATGTGGTCTTTAACCTTTTGTACCATCAGGGAGAGCCTTATGGTTTCTTTTTAAAAAAAAATTATTTATTCATGCATGCAAGAGCTAGAAGGCAGAGGTGGGGAAGTGGTGAGAGGAGTCACCAGAGACAGAGTGGGGAGCAGAATAAGCAGATGGACTGAAAATACATTGCTGCGGGGAGCAGCGGGGACAGGAGAGGTCTGCTGCGCCCTCAAGGTCAGCGCCTGGCTGGGGATCGAATTCATGTTGCAGTGGCTTCAGATAACTTGACAGTGCTGAGTCTTAACTCCTTGTGCCACCAGGGAGGCCCCCAAAATTACTATCTTTTTAATAGTGCAAAAGTATGTGTAACAGTGGATTAATTGCTCTGAGGTTAATACACAGGAGAATTATGTTAGATTTGTGATGATTCTTATTTTCTCCAGCAGATGGAATTATCAAAGTGTAGGGTTACAAATAATAGATATTTATATGTTATATATATGTGTTGATAATAGGTTTATAGTTTAATATTGTAATTTGGAATAAGGCAAGGTTGCGATAAATTACCATTATGTATCATGATTTTTATCTTGGGAAAATTTTTGTATATGAGTTTTAAATTTGGACATATATTAGAGAAATAGATAAAGGGAAGATACATTCCTGGAAATTCTTAAGTATTTTTTTATCCTGGAAGAGTTCATCTTAAATGTGCGAGAAGAAAAAAGAAGGAATTTTGGCAAAACCGTCTTTTCTTTGCTAGACAGGGCAGGGAGGGTGATGCCTAAAAAAATCGAATGGTCAGCTGTACGAGGGCCCCAGGAACTGCCCGCCAGTGCTCGGAAAGCCCAGGAAGGGCCAGGAAAGGCTCAGAGGAAAGAAGGCAGTGCCCGCCCCAACCTGCAGGCCGTGGCTAATGTAGAAGAAAGCAAGAAGCTGTGAACGGGGGATGGCAGACCCCACCAGTGTGCTCCTGGGGCTAATAAAACACGGTCGAGGGGCGTGGTGGCTTAGGAATTGCTGTCCGGGCTGCTGAGCCAACACCCGGGGAGCCCCTGAGCCGTGTATTGGAAAGACACGGAGTGAGCAGCCTCTCCTGCACCCTGTCCAAGCCAGACGCCCTTTGCTGGCCTTGAGCTGTTCCGCCCTGGCTCTGCCTGCCGGGGCCTCTCCCTGCTGTACTTTGGTCCTGCCTCTAACTACGTTGCGCTTTTGCATGTGCTAAAGATGTGATTCGGAATTTCTTCAGGACCATACTCAGGGACTGAGGAACTCCAGACCTCCATCTTCGGAGTGGTTTCTGCTTAACCCCTAGAGTGGCTGTGCTGTGATGTGCTGATTCTTTGTCGGTCACAGCCAAAGGAGCTACCCTGCCTGGGATTGCTGTTTCCGATATATAATGCTGCACACTTGAACTTCAGGATACTCCTTAAGCTTTACTTATTTGTGCATACAGAACTGGGATCCAGGCCAGAGGTGCAGGGGCGGTGAGAGGCTTCCCCCGAGACAGAGTGGGGAGCAGAACAGGCTAACTGACCAAGTACACTGCTGAGGGGAGCAGTGGGCGGGTCGGGAGAGGTCTGCCGCGCCATGAGGGTCACCTCCAGGGCGGAGATTGAACTCATACTGAAGTGGCTTCAGGTTCTTAGTGCTGTGCTCTAACCCGCTGCGCCACCAGGGAGGGCCCCAGGATACTCTTTGTGTCATACCAGATTTTAAATTTTTTATGAGTCATCTTTTCAAAAGTGGTTAATAAAAAAGACTGATTTAAAATAGTAGGCTGCCTTGTGGCAGGATAGCTTGAGAAGCATTTGAAGTATACCTCAAAATAATTTTAGTCAATCAGCTGGATCCTAGACTATGAGTTGATTTTATTCCTGCTACTACTGAAGTTTTTTCATTTTCTTTTGTCCTCTTCTTGCTCTGAGAGAAGCAAGAAGGTTAAATAAGGATTTAATTGGCAGGGGTACTACTTAGAGGCCATAAAAGTGTAAAAGTTACCAGAAACTTTGGTTACATGGAGAGAGTCACAATGTCAGGAGCTCCATAGAAGGTAAACCTCCACCTGTGCGCGTAGCTCAGCCGGAAGTGTGAGTGTTCTCTCATACTCGGTCACCGGGCACGCGCATCCGAGGCAGCTCGCAGTGCTGGTTGACCCCACTCCCTGAGGTAGCCAGGCTGGTTCTTTGCACTGAAGACTTCTCTGTCCTGGTCACTTATCTTCCCTGCAGTGACTTTTCTTGCGTTGCACTCTGCAGTGCATCGGTCCCTCCCTAGTAGTGTCGGGCCTGGGGAGCATTCACCCTGTAGGGCGCAGTGCGGGGGGTAGCCCTGGGCAGGCTTTCAAGGCTTCAGATCTCGGGAGTTCCAAAACACTTCAATGTTAGGTTTCTTTAAAATATAGCATTTTGTTGCTTGTTACATGATTGTTCTGAACTAATTAATTGCTCTTCTTTGAAATGCAAAGTCAAACTTTTATCTCAAAACCTGTGTTCCAGATAATGCTTATGATCCTGATGTGAATGCTAAGCAGATATGGATTGACAAAACAGTGATAAACAAACAGACGTGCTTGACATTCACTGACAACGGGAATGGAATGACTGCAGATAAATTACATAAAATGCTAAGGTATGTAGAAACGTCACATTTCTTGAAATCGTTGCTTTTACCTACTCAGATGTAGGTGTCATACTTGTTGCCATGTTATTTATTTTTAAATAAAACACCAAGCCCACAGTGTGCTCTATTCTCTGTCTTCCATCATTTTCCACTGCAGGTGGATTTTTAAGCAGTCCCTGCCTTCCCCATCACTTTCCCCGTCTAACTTACTTAAAATTCCCCCTTCCATTAGAGTTGTAGTGCGTTGAGATCAGTTATTTATATTGCAGCATAAGTTAATTTTAGCCAGTATTTCTGGTAAAATACTTGGGCCTTGGTAATTCTTCATAAGAAGATGAGGAAGTGACATAAAATAGTGCTAAGGCCTTAGGTTCTCCAGCCCAGTGGGCTGCCAGCATGGCACGTTTCCAGGGGGTGCCAGTATGAGGGGACCCGGACATCGTGCCGGTACAGGTCAGGGCGGGACACTGGCCAAGGCCTGCAAACATGCTTCCTGCTGCCCAGAGGCCAGGTGGCCCCGTCAGTAAGTCACACTGCACTGGGCTTGCGGAGGCCACGCGAAGCATCAAACTCGAGGAGTTCACAAGATAGACTCAGACGACGGCCCAGTCAGATGTGCTGGCGATCAGTTCCCAGCTTCAGTGTGTGCGACTTGTGTCTCTGGGACGAGCTTTACTTCCCTCACCTGAGCTGGGGAAACACACCCGGATGGCTTACCCTTACCCGCGGTGAAAGGGTGACGGGGAGGCTGGCGCTCAGACTCAGGCCTTTCGTTTGGTACTTCAGTTTATGAATTTTATGAAAAGATGACTTACTTAAGAAACTTTTCTCTCCTTTTTAGCTTTGGCTTCAGTGACAAAGTCACCATGAGTGGTCACGTCCCGGTTGGGTTGTACGGCAATGGCTTCAAGTCTGGTTCGATGCGTTTGGGTAAAGATGCGATTGTTTTTACCAAAAATGGAGAAAGCATGAGTGTGGGCTTCTTGTCTCAGACATACTTGGAAGTTATAAAAGCAGAGCATGTTATTGTCCCAATAGTGGCGTTCAACAAGCACCATATCCTTTGATTTTGAAGAAACGAAGAAATGCTCTGAGCCGCCCCACCCTTTCTTTTGTCCTCCTCCGGACCCCGTCTTTTCCACCCTCCGGTTTCTTTCGTTGCCTCTCCTCTGCCCTGAGAGCGTGTCCCTTCCCTTTCTGTTCTCTGTTGGAACCTGTGGGAATTCTCAACTTTAGTCCTTGCGTCTTGTTAAGTGGCTGTCGCGCTCCTCTTTATTCCAGACTTGCTGTTTTCTAGTAGGATTTGTGGTCTGGCTTGAAATTGGACATGTTCACTATTGACCGTGAGAAGTAGGATAGCTTCAAGAAAATACCTTCCGAGTAAACACATTCAATATTGGAAACCATCACATTAGTTAGGAATGATAATGAACCTGCTTGCTCGTCCTCATCCTTCTGATTCATTGACAATCAGACCTCCATTTCAAAATGTTGAAAATAACTTAGGAAGTAGTTTTCTGTTACTTATATTTGTATTTGTCTCCATATTTTAATTCTGAGTTATGTTGTTGGTTAAGTCTTTAACTTAGGTTATACGACAGATGATTAATTTAGCAGAATCAAAAGCAAGCCTTGCTGCCATTCTGGAACATTCTCTATTTTCTACGGAACAGAAATTACTGGCAGAACTTGATGCTATCATGGGTAAGAAGGGGACAAGGATCATCATTTGGAATCTTAGAAGGTAAACGTAGACTCAGCTGTTGGTTCAATTTGGAAAGCAAAGTATGTGTACCAGAATGGTTTCTTATATTCACTCTTGTTACATTTTTCAGCATATTTAATGATTTGTCTTTTCTAATTGCTGTTGTTGAGGCCACTTTGAGATAATTTCATATTATTGAAAATAAATATACTAGTCCTGCCACTACTCTCCATTAATTCATTAGTTTCCCTCTGTTATTTACCTCTTATTAAAAATAACTCACCATAAAAAAAGAAAGGCAAAGATAAAACCCCAGCTAACAGGTCCCACCTTGTGTAAGTTCAACAAGTCTTTTGTCTGTTATTTAAGCATGAATTAGCACCTGGTAAGAAGAATATACACGAAATTTCTGTGTTGCTAAAATGTTTTAGTCCTTTATCCTTAGGAGGATAAAATCACTGTGAATAAAAGCTTTAAAAGTGATGAGGAGGACCTCCATGGTGGTGGAGGGGTTAAAGAAAGCGCTGTCAAGCTATCACCAGCCACTGGAGCAAGAGTTCAGTCCCCAACCAGCCAGAGAGTGACCCACATGGCGCAGCAGAGCTCTCCTGTCCCATCCACTGCTTACCCTCAGCAGTGTGTTTCAGTAGATCTGCTTGTTCTGCTCTCCCTTCTGCCTCTGGTGAGTCCTCTCACCTCCCCTGCACCTCTGGTCTGCACCCAGTTCTTGTCTGCACAAGTTAATTTTAAAAAAATGATGAATGTATAATATTGAGAGATCAAAGATAGAGAATCACAGCAATAAAGCACAACTAGGACTAAGTCTAAAATATTTGAGCTTTCTTTAACCTCTTTGTTTTCTTACTTTAGCTTCCTGTCCCCTCCCATTTCCCCCCAGTTTCTCTTTTTGCTTTTGAGATACATATATAGTCACATACAGTTACAAGTAGTAGAGCTCATGGGCCTTTACTGAGTTCCTCCTAATGGTACCACAATAAAGTGGAGCTGCTGATTCCGACAGCGACACAGGGGTTTTCATTACTGCAGTGTCCCTTTGTCACCCCTTTTATATCCATAGCCCTCCTGCCTTAATTCCTGGTAA